CACCCCACCCCACCCCACCCCAGGGCGGATGGCCACGCCACAATCCCTTCTCCTCCATTCTCCTCTCGGGATCTTGGGCACGCACGCACACGTGCCTGGCATGAGTTTAAGCCCAGGTCTGGGACTCGAACCATCATCGATTACATGGGAGTCCAGTGACATAGCCATTACGCTAACTGCCGGTCCCTTTCTTGCAGTATTTTAAAGCTATACTATACTGCCTTATCGCTTGCATCGTTTCAGATGAGAAATTCTGTCATTCCTATCTTTGTCCCTCTGTAATCATGCATCTTCCTTCTGTCAGTGCTTTTCTTGTTGCCCTTGAGAGAGTTTTGCTATAGGGTACATGTGCTCACTGGAGAGACAGAGACAGAGAGACAGAGGCGAGAAATTACCCCCTAGGGGGACGGCCACACTGCAATCCCTTCTCCTCTATTCTCCTCTTGGGATTTTGGGCACGCACGGACACATGACCGGCATGTATCAAGCCGCGAGGTCCAGGACTCGACCTGCCTGTGACCATGTAGGAGTCTAGTGCCTTAACCACAAGGGCACCTATCTGCCCCTCTGTCTGCTTTTAAGACAGGATGAAGAGGGGCCAGCAGATGGTGTAATGGTTACAATGCTGGACTCCTACATAGTCGAATGTGGTCCGAGTTCCAGACCCCAGAGGCTTGACACTCATGCCGGGCGCGTGTGCGTGCGTGCCCAAAGTCCCAAGAGGAGCATGGAAGAGAAAGGACTACAGCGCGGCCATCCCCCTGGGAGTGATTTCACACTCTCTGTCTCTCTGTCTCTCTCTGTCTCTCCAGCTAGCTACATGACCTATAGCAAAGATCTCTCCAAAGGGGGTGAGGGGGAGGCAGGATGCAGAAACGGAGGAGAAGGGATCGTGGCATGACCACACTCCATTAGGGACCGCTCCCTTCCTCTCCCTCTCTCTGGCAAATTCATGCGCCCTCTGGCCAATAAATAATAACGATAAAGATAGAAGCCATACAGGGAAGCTGTAATAGAGTCATGTATTTAAAAAATTAAATTCCCACATCTTGAAAAAAATCATTACTATTTTCCTTTTTTTTTTTTTTCGGAGAGTTTTTTGCTATAGGGCACGTGTTCTCACCAGACAGAGAGAGACAGAGACAGAAAGCAAGAAATCACCCCCGAGGGGGGATGGCCACGCCACAATCCCTTCTCCTCCATCCTCCTCTCTGGATCTTGGGCACGCACGCACACGCGCCCGGTGTGAGTTTTAAGTCACCGGGTCCGGGACACGAACCGTGGTCGACTACATGGGAGTCCAGCGACATAGCCATTACGCCAACTGCTGGTCCCACTATTTTCCTATTTTTTTAAATGCAAACATGCATCATAACTTTCCAGAAGACCCAACAGAATAAGCTGCAAATGGCAAAAGATATCTCCCCCACATAGGATGACAGGTTAATGGGTTTTTTTCATTTTTATTTTATTTTAATTTTTTGAAGAGGTTTGCTATAGGGCGCATGTGCTTGCCAGACAGACAGAGAGAGACAGAGAGACAAAAAGTGAAAAATCACCCCCCAGGGGGGACGGCCACACCACAATCCCTTCTCCTCCATTCTCCTCTCGGGATCTTGGGCACGCACGCACACGCACCTGGTGTGAGTTTAAGCCACCAGGTCCAGGACTTGAACTGCGGTCAATTACATGGGAGTCCAGCGACATAGCCATTACGCTAACTGCTGCTCCCACCGTTTGTTTCTGACAGACAGTGAGGAAGACCCCAGAGCAGTGGCCGGTGACGCAGGAGGACCCAGCAGGCACCACCGTTTGCTGAGTCGGAGGCAAACATCCTTCAAGGCTTCAAAGCCGAACGATAGAGGAATCACTGATGCTCACTTCCCCTGAATGAGCCTGTCTGCTCCGAGCTTCCCAGACCCCAGTGGTCCCCAGGAACCCGGAGCCTAAATTTAGACTGTCCCCAGAAGGTCACCGGATCACCCTGAGGCAGGGTCAGCGAGCAGCTGCTCAAGATAAACTTGGTCTTTCTGCTGACTCGGGCCTTTCTCCTACACAATTAGCAAGCTCTCCCCGCACTTCCCCTGGCCAAGCTGAACAATAGCTGGGGCTAACAGGTGGCCTTGGCCAGCGAGCTGTCACCAGAGATCAGGGATTCGTGGTCCCTGCCTGGCCCACCGGCTCTGACCTAGCCTGGGGGGTCCTGGTACACCATGGTGCTCCAGCCAGGCCGGTGTGCTTCTGCCTGGGGACACCGATCTCCTTCCAGGACTAGGATCTTGCATAGCTGTTTCTTCTGCTCTGCCTGGGACTCACCCCCTGCATGGTGGCCGAAATGTCACCTCCGTAGGGAAGCCTTCCTCTCTTTTCCCCCAGCGATCACTGGGTGTTGGGGGTTGTCAGTTCCTTCAGGACAGGAGATGCCTTGCCGTGCGCTTCCCCTGGAAACAATGCCCAGCACGCAACAGGTGGATGGAAGGGTGGGTGTGTCCTCGTGTCCCTCCTGGGTCTGGGGTGGGTGTGTGGGTGTGTATGGGGAGGCCAGCATCAGTCCCCGCTGCTGACTCTGGGCCTCTGTGGTGGGTCTGGGTCCACTGCTGGCTGGAGTCATGACCACCACAGTGGCGTCAGAGTAGGAATTAGATTGTGCTTGGTGGTGCCGGAGACCATCTGCCAGGTCCCCAAGATACCATGAAGCTGTCACCAAAGAGAAGTGAGTTCACTGGGGCCACCCTAGGGAGCCAGCTAGGGAGAGAGGGAGGCAGGTGAAGGAGAGAGCCTCGGGCTGGCTGCGGTGCCGCGCTGGCTGGAGGGGCGGCAGGTGGCTGGAGGCCAACTGCAGGTGGTCTGCAGCCCAGGGCGGGTGCGTGAAGATGACCATCCTGCAGAAGCTCATTCCTAGCCAATGGTGGGAAAACCAATGAGCGAACACACAGTCCTAGCCCGGAACCCCGAGAGCAAGGCTGGGGATGAGGGCAGAAAGGGGTCCTTGGACGTGACCTCGACCACCTAACTCAGATGAGCAGAATGCAGCCCAAGGGACCCGCTCTCCAGCTGCAGGACAGATGGACCAGCCTACGGCCTCAGGGAAGGTGTGTCTGGCTGGAGCATGCAGCGTGCACTCTGGACTGCCCTCTGGACCGGCCGTCCCAGGCGTGCAAACGCATGGCCACCTGGGCTGGTCCCGGGGGG